TTGTGAACAATGCCTGGTCGCGTGTCACACTGCGGCTCCCAGTGGCAACAGCAACAACAACAACAACAACAACAACAACAACAACAATGGGTATGGCAAGTGTAACTGATTTGCCAGCGGGTCGCATCTAGGGCTGCTTTCAGTAGTAAGCCACTCCCAATTGACCGCCGCCCGCCGGCACACGCCCACAGTATAAACAACTCAATTTGAATGCATTTAACCGCGTAATTGAGGCACGTGTTGGACGCTACGCGTGCGCTATTTGTGGCTAAAGCAACCCGGGGTGCTATCCACCGCCCGCCCTCCGCTCCATCCCCTTTCACCCTGCGCCGTTAAGCACGCCAAATTGCAAACCAATTGGCAAGCAACTGGTCGGCCCTGTAATATGCCTCGAATGCCAATGCCCAACCGCCCGTCCGTCTGTCCATCCGTCCGTCCGTCCGTCCGCGCAGCGCTGCACTGAAATTAGTGCGTAAATGTTTTCTCACCAAATAAAAAGGCCCAGCTCCCATTGTCGGGCCGAAGTTTGGCTTTGTGCCCCATTTCGTTGCGCTTGCCGGCGAATTAGCTGCGAATTATTCGGGCAGATGACGAGCCACGGACACGCGTTTCATTTACGTTCAATTCGCAATGCTTTTCACGCTGCCTTGTTGGCTCTACCACTTGACAGGTAGCTTGGCTAAACGATGATGAATTGCGGCCTGTGTAAATGCGTTGTGCTCGTTGGCCTCGTGTCGCCTGCGTCTAAAATAAAAAATTAAAAAGAGGAAGCAGAGCTAAATGGGGCTAAATGCCAGCGGAACTTCCCCCTCAAAGTATGCTATACAAAATTTAAATCGTAATCCATGAGCTCCATTCCTTGATTAAGTGTCACTGCTCTAAGTTGTTCTGACACTCTCTTTCCCTCTCTGACACTCTCTTTCCCTCTCTGTCTCTCTCTCTCCCTCTCTCTATCTATCTATCTGTCGTACTCTCTGTCTTTCTTTAGCTTTGTCTCACCCTCTTTCTCACTTTTCATCTCACTGTCTGTCCCATTCTCTATCTCACTGTATCTCCGTGTTTTTCTTTTTTATAAGGTCCCCATATATACTATCATATATACCCATTATCTAATTCCATGCTTCCTTTTAGCACTTAATTTTTTAATCTAACCATAGTTCTAAAAATTCTAGTTCTATTAATTCTGCCTATCCATTGTTCTTCATTCCTAGATTGTTAATTAATTCTTGATCAATATTTATTATTGTGAAGATTAATCTCTAAATATTTTATTAAATCATTACAAAATGAATAAAAAATGCTCCCTCTGTCCCATTTCTGGCTGATTTTTATTAAGTCGTCTAAAAATATAACATGATTTTCAAATCTGTAAATATATATAAAAATATTTCATATATATTAAAAAAAAAAAAACATTTAAAATATAAAATTGAAAATATAAAACATACTTATTTTTGCTCAATTTCACATTATTTACTTCGATCTTTTCTTTCACTCCCTCTCCCTTACTCTCTTACCCTCTCTCTCTTATTCGCTTTCTCTCTCTTTCTCTCTCTCTCCCTCCTTTCCATCTTTCCTCTGTCAGTTAATCGACCATTAAAATATTTGATGTAATTTTCAGCACAAAGGCAGTTTACAGTTTTATTGCCCATTTCAAATACTAATAGCAATTGTCTGTGGCAGCAACAATATTATTGCCGCACTAAACTCCGTATGGCAGCAACACCAACACCAACAGCAACAGCAACAACAGCAGCAACAACAATGTAAAAGTGTTACACCAGAGTTCTTTACCAGCTTCAATATTACATGAGCACAAATTGCAATTTAATCCACAGATGTCAGCATTGCGCTCAGTGCCTGACACAGTTCCTAGCCATCCATAGCCCTTTTTTTTCTGCGTTTTCGTATTCCTTATCATACAGCTCCGTGAGTGCACGTGGCAAGCGCAACCCCGAGTCGATCTCGAGCTGAGCTGAGCTGAAAGCGTCCCACACGCGTGTCAAGTTGAAAAATGGTATTAAAGTCACATTGACAATCATCAAAATGTGATTCGCTTGCAAACAACAATGCCAACTGGGGTGGCTCAATCGCTCCGCAGCGTCGCGTCGCTTGACTCAAGACACATGTGGCAGGCGCTCGGGCGCTCCCCGGTGACGCTTTAGCGTATACTCTTGCCTCATCCTACGGCGGCCTCATCATCAAACGCGCTCGGAAAATCTGTCATATAGCCTGGCCAAAGTGCCTCTTGGGAGCTTGTTTATGTCAAGCGCGGGTCATAATTTATATGGTCGCACATATGCAAGCATTTCGGGTGTGTGTGTGTGGGCTAGTGGGCGTGTGGGCGTGGCATGGCAGTTAAATTTTAATTGTCGCGCATCTCTCGCTGACTGCCAGCCCACAAATAGCGAACTAAATGAACTAAACTAAGTCTCGCGTTGATCTACCACTCCCAATTAGACAATCCACTTGCCGCCAGCCGAGCTTCACTCGGCGCTCCACTTTACTCGTTTATCTGGCCGACGTTAGCGTCTCAGGCATCCGCTCATCCGCGAAATTGTCGTCAACGTTAGCGTCAACGTCAGCGTCGTCGCAGTCCGCGGCAATCCAAATTCAATTAAACAAACACAATAAGTTTCGATAAAGCTGTGCTGATAAGCACAGCAAACTAAATATTCGCATAAAATTTACTACATTCAAAGAGAGAGAGACCGAGAGAGAGAGAGTGAGTGAGACAGAGTGAGAGTTTGGGTGTGACAAAACATGTATAAGGGGCGGACTGTAGAAAAGTCAATGGTGCAGATTAAATGTTGCTCATGCTGCCAACACAAGGACACACACGCACACACACACACACATACATATATAGATATTCACGCACACACATACTCCGAATGAAGTATGCGTAATCTGCAGCAATTCAGGCGCAAAAAAAGGTTCTCGTAAAATACGTAAACAAAGCAGAACAAAATAAAATAATAAGAAGGCAGCAAATTGGAATCCAAAATAAGTCCTATAAAATAAAATTCAAAGTAGTTTAGGCAAAAGACCTAAAAACACTCACAGAGAGTGAGAAACAGAGACAAGCACAGAGACTGAGACAGCGAGAGAGGCTCGGGCACAACAACTTAATTGTGTGAGTGTCGCATTTTGATTCTGCAATGAGTTTGAGCCAGAATCAAGTGAAGCATTTGCTGGAGAGTGGGCAACTGTCAGTTGCCTTTGCTAGTTGGTGGTGCAAAGTGCTTAAATGGGATTTGCTTTATTATGGCGGGCATTGGAAAGCAATTGTCTTGGATTTGCGTTTTGGGCGTTCGTCATTCCGGATACGGCGCAACTGTAAGGGTAACTCCACGCCGTGGACTGGGGCTAAGTATGCCTTTAAGTGGGCAGGCGTCTCGTTAATTTATCGTTTCGCTGATTTGTTTGCGAGTGAGAAGATGTTTTGTGGGCGTCTTACTCGATATGCGACAATAAATTGTATTTAGTGAACTGAAATATACATTGTAAAAATTCTTAGTGCTGTTTTCTAGGCAGGTGTCTCGATGTAATCTAATAATATATTTGGTTTAATTATTTACACATATTAAAGCCAACAGTTAGCATACCTAACTACATCCACCCATCATAATTTAAATGAATTTCTTCCTCTTGCTCAACTGGCAAGTAGAATAAGCCGCACTCCAGTCGCAGCGTAAGTTGCTGCAGCTAAAATTAGAGTTTAATCGTATGCAAATGGAGCTTGTTTGCTCCCGTTCGCATTCGCATTCGCATTTTGGAGAATTTAGTGTGGAATCGCTGGCATGTCTGCAGCTGAATAATTTATTGGCTCACATTTACAGAAATTAACATGCTCACACACACACATATACGCAAAGGCGCTCATGGCTGCGGGTTCATGCATAATATGCATAAGTATGTGTGTGTGTGTGTGTATACGTCAAATAGGATTTTCGACTAATTGCAAAGTACTTAAGCAAAGCTTAAAACAAATGTAAAAGCAAATTTTTAATAAATTATTTATGCAAATGTCCCTTGCCGGAAGGAAATAAGCAAAAAAAAAAAAAAAAAAGGGTTATCCTCGACCTTCTAGCAGAGGGCGTTGCCATTGCTGCCCGCAAATGCAATCAGATGTGCGAAATTTAGTTACAGCCAACGCACATCGGATGCGAGTCGCGTGTCGCGTGGCTTTTCACACAGAGCTCAGCCTTTCTGGGGAGGGGCCGTAATAGATATTAAAGGATTTCCGACATATCCTTGCTCAGTGACTGCGCCGCTTGCTTTGCTTTGTTTTGTTTGTCTGTTTGTTTACATCGAGTCGCTGTCAACGGCACTCGGAGTCGGTCCGCATCCGCATCCGTCTGGGCATTCAGATCGGCAGCCGGCTCCTGGAGCTGGCCATGCATGGATTTCTGTTTCAATTATGCTGCCCACCAATCAAACAGGCAGCAGAGCCCAGCAGCCCCTGCCGTGGGCCGTGAGTAGTTATTATAATATCAATGGGCGCGAGGTGTGAAAGCCCGTGAATTTATTCATTCGCCTGTCTCTGTTTTGACAACTTCGCCTCGTCCGGCGATATATGTATGCCCGTCATTGTATCACGCAAATCGGATTAAGATATTTCGTATTCGTTTGCCACATAATTGAATAGCCAGGAGTGCGTGTATCTGTGTGTGTGTGTCAGTCTGTGTGTGTGTGTGCTTGAGCTGCACACGCAGTAAATGAGAAGCAAATTTAAAATTTTACACTTGACTTAGCATTGTTGTCCTGTCATTTCACACGCTTGCCAGAGATTCCTCACAGTATGTCACACTCTCTCTCTGTCTTTCTCTCTCTCTCCCTCTTTATTTGTGTGTGCGCCACAGCGATAAATTGTTTTTCACCCCCCGATCATACACATTCATAAGCTCGAGTTTTCTTTGGTATTATTTAAAATCTTTATTTTGCTCACATTTTATATGTATTTCAATTTCAATTTCAATTTTGGTTTTTCAATTTTGATTTTTGATTTTGCTTGCCACTTAAATGCTAACATAGCGTTACATACTCATACATACTTAGTATCATAATAATTACATACTCATAATTTGTAATTCGATAAAGTAATTATAAGGGGGTAGATATGTCAAACATTGACTGGGCAACATCATTGGGCTTCGTTGGCTACGAATGGCAATATAATACACGAACTATTTACAGGCGGGAGACTGACTAAACAACACTTAAAGCAGTTTCATATTTACAATGCGTCGGGCCGTCGCGCCTCGGGGGCGGCGTCCTTGGCTCGCTTTTCGAAGATTTGCAACAAACGCTGTTGCATCTTGCAATTTTATGAGTGGGAGTGGCTCAAGTGGTGGGCGCCCAGGGGGTGGAAGTAGGGCCCGTACGGCGGATAGGGCACGGCGTGCGGATAGAGCAGGCTGCTGGCATACGCGCCGGGCCCAAACGATCCACCAGTGGGCGGCGGCAGCGTCGGGCTGTTCACATCCATGCCCGGATTTTGTTTCTTCCACTTGGTGCGTCGATTCTGGAACCAGATCTTCACCTGCAAATCGCAACGAAAATACTAAAACTCAGCAAAGAGTCCCATGACAGCAGTCAAGGTAAGGAAATGCTCACCTGCGTCTCAGTCAGGCTCAGGCTGAGCGCCAAGTTCAAGCGCTCGCACACGCTCAAATAGCGCGTTGTCTTGAACTTGTTCTCCAGTGAAACCAGCTGCTCGTAGGTGAAGGCGGTGCGCGCCCTGCGCGGCTTGGACCCACCGCCGCCGCCACCGCTGCCTGACTTGCCATCGCCATTGCGACTGCCGCCTTTCTTGGAGTCGGTCTCGCTGCTGGGATCGTCTATGTCGCTGCCATCGTCGCACATGTCATCGTGATCCATGTCATTGAGATCCTGAGCTGCAAGCGCAAGAGAATAGAAAAAGTTGAAATACAAAATAGTTTTTTTTTTAGTGTTCATTCCTTTTGCATGGCGAGAGCTTCATCAATCAACTGAGCTGACCCCTTGGGGCCGGGCGTGATTTGCAAATGGAAATCAATCACTGCGCATCGCTGTAAATTAATTGGAATCTTGGGCACATGCTGCCGCACATGTGTATATGGGCGGTCCAGTTGGGAACGCGCAATTGATTGCAGTGATGCGGCAATCAAAATTCAATTAACGCACGCCAACCACTGTCCAGGGCATATCGATTACCCAGCTGAGTCCGTCTGAGGCTTATATAGTCATAAAAATATATACCAACTACTGATTGGGTCAGTCATTATTATTGTGTGGCATAACAAACGATGTAACTTTGCTCAATATAAGGGAGAGCGAGATATATATATAGAGACAGAGAGAGAGAGAGAGAGATAGAGTGGAACTCGGCTATTCTCAGTGAGAAAGGCGCTTCGCGGAAACGGTGCTGCAAAATGCATACGTCTGGTAATTGGTCAACATGATTGGCCATGTTTGCATGTAATTAGCCTGGCCGTGACTGCATAGCAGAGGCAGAGCCAGAGCCACAGACATCGCGCGCCAATTAAACAGAAAATTAACATGAACGCTTCATTTAATATTTAACGATTTTACTGACCGCCGACTCTGTCTGTCTGCCCTTTCAAATGCAAATGGCTCGAATGTCGCCTGTCGCAATGGTAATGGGCTGTGGAGTGTTTGCAGCCACTTTGATATGCATTAATGGCACATTAGATGCCCGAATATCATCATCATCATCATGAGCATCATCAGCATCATCAGCATCATCAATACCCATTGAACGGCTCCGACGAGTGACGCTGACCACAATTGGTTTGAGTCAATTGAATTAACTGGCCCGTGGGGCGGCACTCCACCAGACGCTTAATGCGTCGGCAAACAGACGCGAAAAAGTCGAAAGGTCTGCGCAGACGATGCGAATGGGGTTGAGGTGGAGGTTGCAATTGAGGATGGGGCTGGCGCCCTATAAACAGCCAGCCACAACCGCAGCTGGTTAATAAGCGCTGCCCGAGCTGGCTGGTATGCCGACGCGCTTTTCTAATTAGGGTAACTAGCCGTCCAGTCGGTGGAACAAGGCATATACGTGTTGTCTGGCAACCGTTTGGATGAAGAGTCACCAAAAGGGTTATGTTGAATATGCAACGACATTTAAAATGTTCTATTTATGCTATACCAATTCGAAATAAGAATTAAAAATAAAATATACATTTGTATTATAAGTAGATACAAATTCCAGTTAAAATGTGCTTGATTTCATGTAAATATTATATGCATAAATATATATTAATTAATATACTAAATTCTTGGGAAATTTGCTGAATATACATAAGGAATATATTTTCAGATAATTTTATATGTGGCACACCCTTAATATGCGTGCAAACGTTGCTCTGTCGCAATTAGCTAGAGAGTCAGGCTCGTTTATTATATCTCTGCTCATTTAACAGTACTTTCATTTACATTTACAGCTCTTGTTTACTCTTCCGAGGTACTCCAAATGTCAAGGCTGGCTGCTCTCAAGTAAGTGCAGCTGCTTATTATAGTAGCAAAAGCACATATAAGTAATTTTCATGTTATGCCATAACATTAAAGATAAGACTAACATGGCTGAGCAGAAAAAAACAGGAATGGATGTACACCGACTCATATACTCTATGCCCAAATTGCAGGCAAGGATCAGAGAGCTAATCAGAATGAAATTGATATAAAAAGCAAAGCGTAAGAAAGCTAAGAAAGAATTTCCAAGAACTAAATCTGTTATACGCTAATTACAATGTTAAGAATAAGATATTTTATTCGATAATATTATGTAATATTATTTTAAAAATATTTTTCAAATAAAATATGTAACTTAAAAGTATGAGAAATAATAAAATACACAATTTTCTGTAAATTCGTTATACTCCTGGATTATACCACAAGTATATCTTATAGAATATGTAATATTATTATACATTAGCTAGGGCTAGAATATACCACAGTATACAATATATATATTATATATACATATATGTATTTATATATCTCTTTGCCTGTAAAAGTTCCAATCCAAGATAATTTACATAGACTAAACCCTAACTGTCTAAACTCAATTGCGTCTCTCTTTCTAGCTTTAACAAAAGGAGAAAACTTTAACATACTTTGTAAGGGTATAGGGAGCATATAAAAAAGTCTCCATGACAACCTATAATTTTAAGCCATAATCTTAATTATGAAATCTGAGTGTTAATTACCAGACACACATGAACGCATACACACACACACACACACACACACACACACACAGAGACTCGGCAGACAAAATGGCTTTTAAATTTGGATTCGAGCACTTTTGGGTTTCGGGCGGTTTCATTGTCGCAATCATTATAATCGCATACGCTTGGCCAATGCGACCCCGGGGAGCATTTGTCGTCTCATTTTGCCATTTTCATAAAATAATAAATGAGTTGCTGATGACGGATATAAAAAGCCGAGCCGAGACTACGAAAATTGTCGCCTAACTTTACAGAGCTCACAGACACGCACACAAATCTGCAAAGCTCCCCAGAGCGCCAGCAGCCAGGAGTCGGCGACCAGCAATATACACCAATACATGAATACAAAGTACGTTATATACACACACACACACACACACATTTATATTTATACGTATATAGAGATGCATTGGCGTGTGCCATGCGTGCGAGCGAGAGCGCTAGCCTGAGCGCCAAATTGAGTGCTGAAAAGAATAAAAGTTTTCGCAGCCATTTTACTTTCTCGGGGGTTGGTTGCCAGCCGCAGCAGTTTCACTCCCCCTGCCAGCTGGCAGCGAGCAGGGCATGGCCACCCACAGTTAAATGTTGCCACATAACCATTTTATTCGACCCAACCCCAGACAGCAAGTACATCCCCGCCATGCTCTGTGAGCCCACTTAGTTATCGCATGTTTTTTCATATGACTTTTGGGGCGCATTTTTTGTGCTGCTCGAGCATAATGCTAGAGTGTGTTTCTGTGTGTGTGAGTGTGTATGTGTGTGTAGATATGGTAAATTTCTAGCTATCCATGTTGCTATCCATGTTGTTTTTATTTTCTCCTCTGCCTCTGTGCCCGCCTGTGTTTTGTATTGTGGCTTTCAGCGCTGCTTTTAGTGCATTTGCTAGTTGTGTGCTTTGGCTGAGTTTTGTTTTGCATTTTAAATGATATGCAAATTGCTGTGCGCCCAGTGGCCGGCGACCCCAGCGAATGGCGCCTTAGAGAATTGAGCGCTGACAAATGCAGCGTATGCGTAATATATGTAAATTATTAAACGTCATGCACACACAATGCATCCGCTGTGATCCGATAAGATAGAGCGAAAGGGAGAGAAAGAGCGAGAGAGAGAGAGGGAGTAGTGGGTGGGGTGGGAATGAGTGAGGCTGTCATAAAATCCAATTAGTTGCAAAGACAAAAGGCCACATAATTACGCTAATATAGAGTGAAGCGACCAGCAGCAGCATTAGCACCTCCCAGCTCATAAAATTAAGTGTCTGATAGGGCAGGCACTCTGTGTGTGTGTGTGAGTGTGTATTTGCATGTTGCCGGGACAGAGCCATTGAAGCGGCTAATGAATGTGCGGTAATTAAGTACCTTGCTAATTAATGACTACAGCATCACCAGGCAACAATCGTTGAATCGCAGCACGCAAACAGTGCGTATGCGTAATGTGAACAGTCAAGTCGTCCGACGCCCGTTCGTCAGTCCGTCTGCCTTTGTTACTGCTGCTGCTGTCCCTTTGCTGTAAACTTCAGCTGACTGAACAGACGGCCAACAACAATGGCACGCACACGAACACTGACACGACCAGCTACATAATCATTGCCAGCATCATTATCCTGGTTGCGTTCCTCCCCTTTCCTCGTCGTCCGCCCTGCTGTCGCCGCCGGCGCTTGGGGTCGTTGGCGCGGCCATTCAGTCTGTTTTATTAGCAGTTATGTTCGAGTACTGCGGCGCCACACCCAACAGCAGCCACCTCCACGTCCGGCGCCATTGATGAAGCTAATTGTGTTTTATTAACACAAACACAAATACACAAACAGCAAACAGTCACACGAACAGCCAACAACAACACACAAACACTAGCAGCAGCAGCAGCAGCAGCAGCAGCAGCAATGGCCGATAATTTGTTGCTGATAATGATGTTGTTGTTGTTGTTATTATTGTTGTTGCTGTTGTGCTCTGCGCCATTTTCACTGTTGATAATTTCGTACATAAGCGCTTACCGAAGTGGCCAATAAAGCGAGTGGCTTGTTTGTGTGCGTGCGTGTGTGTGTGTGTGTATGTGGGTGTAAATGCGCGTGTAAATGTGAGTGCAACCAGCACTTTGGGCAAACTAAATGACTGACAAGCTGTGTATTCTCATTGTCAGTTGTCGCTAACATTGATTAAAGATAAACAATGGAACATTTCCAGCTATCAAAACTTTTCATTTTGATTGACTTTAGATTTTAGGGCATTCGATGCGAAATATGACTATTTACAATATAAAATATTATATCTTTTGTTGACTTGTGCAGAACTAGTCAAGAGTCTCCTAATGCTCGTAGCTTAAAAAGCTGATACAAATTTCTTTTTAGTTTAATTGAAAGTTTAGCTGAATTGAAGCTAATTTGTATTCAACGCTAAGGTCAGAAATTCTATCTGATTCCCAAATATGTACGAAATTTCGTCACATCAGTTTTAATATATCTAAATTTTCCCATGATTTTCATTGAATTTTATTACCTTCAACTGATGTGAAAAAATGTAAAATATATACAAAAAATATATTTTAAATAATACTAATATATTTTGAATAATTGATTATTCGGGTTCTCAATTTCCCAGTAGGAAATTATGTATTATGAAATTTAGTTTCATTGTAGTTTTGCATCAGTAAAGCCTTTATATCTACGCTATTTAGTAGATATATTAAATAAGTTCTGCGAAATTTGATTGTTTCGACTTTTAACATCAATGAAAGCAACTGTAGATTGAAAATTTTTAGAATTTTCCAAATTTTGTATTAGCTTGCAGTGATGTTTGGATACAAATTAAATATATATCAACTTTGTTAATTACTCTTCGTCTTTTTAGTTATTTATAAAACGCAATATGAAGCAATTGTTATATACATATTTTTTTGTTCTGTTGTAAACATAAATCTTTCAAATATTTAATAGTTGCATTTATAAGGGAAAACCTAATCTTTTCCGCTTTTAACAAATCTAAGAGTAATTTTCGGGGACATTTAAAACAGTTTATTAACCTCAACTGATGTGAGATAAGAAAAAATGAATACAAAATTTAATAATATGCCATTCGCATACTCAATCATTAGAGGCAACGAACAGCATTATGAATTTTCCGTCTATTTTGAGGTTTGCCATTTATATTTGCTTAGCTCATAGCTTAGCACTTAATCGTAGTTATTTCTCTGCACATTCTCTATTCATAGTCATAATCACATTATGAGCATTGTGCAAACAAAGCGTTTCACCAATTGCAAGACTTGACTTTTTCCGTGTCCTGCGTGACGAGCAGGATACGGAAATGCTTCCCTTTCGGATGCTCTCGTTCTACCTATCTACTTTGTTTTCAACGTTTATTTTGGCGCTTTGCCGCAGCTTAGCAGTTCTGCTCTGATGATGCTTTATCCGAGCACACACCGCCCCCAGCCCCCAGCCCCACACAGATCCTATTGCCAAGTTCACCACACAACTTCAATCAAATTTGCAAATTTTTATTTGAGGAATTTCTTTGGAGCGAGCGAAGCATGAAAATCAATTAATTTTCAGCAAAATGTTAGCCAACAGCTAGCAGAGGCAAAAAAAAGAAAAAAGTGAAAAAAGTAGAGTAAAAATGGAAGAAAAATAAAAAATTAAAATGAGAGCAGCCCAATACAGGGGCTGCACAAAATCTGGCAAAAAGAAATATCGCAAAATTCCACACAGCAATTGCTTTTCCCAATTAAAACATCAATCAATCAATTAAAACAAATTCCATGCAAAATCCCCACTTGAATATGAGTGCAGATTTCAGTCTAAACAAGTTTTGTACCTCGCTCGCATTGTTTGCACACTTGTTTACCCGGCGAATATGCTCAATGCATATATATATATATATAGGTATATATATGTGTGTGTGTATACATGTATGTATAACTGCTTTCGTAGTACCAACGAACGAACAGGGTCTACGTGACTTACGGACGAAAACAGGCAAAACAAAATCTCTGCTCGTTCAAAATGGCAACTTTACCTCACCTTCTCTCTCTCTCTCTCTCACTCTCTCTCTGTGTGTGTGTGTGGGTGGGTATAAAAAGTAACAAAATCAAAACATTCCAAAAGCTACAGGCGGCAGTTTAAATACAACCCGCCCACCCACTCAATTGCACGGAGGACGGTCGAATAAAGTTGGCTGTTTGGAATAACAAGTGGAGGCAAGTGGAAAACGTTTTGCCGCTTCCGCAGCCCAACTACACGCACACATGCATGTGTGTGATATGTACATATGTGTGTACGTGTTTAGGCGGGATGCTGTGCACAAGATTCCAATCAGAGGCAACCAGACAGAGCAATGCTGCTTGCTCATTGAGCTACCTGCTAGCCAGACACTCACCAGACATGTCCTCGCTGTGCTCGTCGTCCAGGTGATCGTGCATGTCCTCATCCCGATCGTAGCTCCATTGGCGCGGATGCCCGAAAGGTGGCGCTGTCGCTGGCAATTTGTTGCCCGTGAACTTGTTGGGGTCCAGGATGTTCTCCACGGAGAAGGCGAGCCGTTTGGTGGCCTCTCTGTCGCTGGCTCCACTGGTGGAGGCGGTGCTCGCACTGTTCGCGCCATTCGGCACGGAGCGCGTCAGATCCACTGGGCAGACCTGATTAAAGAGCAGGAGTGGAGAAGGACAGGCAAAGCTGAGCACGGAAATACCCGGGGATAGCCAGTGTGAGAGACTTACCGACGGCGTGCTGTGCGATCCGGAGCCATCATTGCTGTCCTCGTCGTTGCCATCCACATTGAGCTCTTCGCTGGTGTCGCTGCGCGCATAATTAGCGGCCGCAATCTGGCGAGATGTGGCCGCCGCCGCAGCAGCCGCTGCCGCCAGGCCGCCCAGCTGTATTCTGAAACCGTAATCACTCAAGTCGCGGCCAGGGGGCGAGACGGAGGCGGAGCTGGTCGAGGCGGCGGTGGATGTGCTGGGCGCTTGGCTTTGGCTGGAGCGCGCGGCAACCGCGGCCACCAGCTTAATCCGCTCCAGATCCATCTCATTGGCGGATGTCGGACTAATGCTGCCCATCCCTGGATGCGGCCCGGCGCCCAAGTGCTGCTGCATTGCCTGTGGCGGCGGTGGCGGTGGCTGTGGATGCTGTGGATGCTGGGGCGGTGCTGCGAGAGCTGTATGCGAAGGATTTGCTGGTGCTGCGGTGTTGCCCGGGGGCGAATCCCTTTGCGGCTCGGAATGTGTCGTCTGGCAGCTGCCGGAGCCAGCGCCTGTGCCTGTGCCAGTGCTGGGTGATGTGGGTGGCGACAGTGGCGATGTGGCTGGCGAGGGTGGTGCAGTGGTGTTGCTGGCATTGGCTATCGCTGCAGGTGCTCGCAGATGGAACACAGCGGCTGCTGCATGATGCGGATGTGAGTGAGCTGAATGGTGGTGATGGTGGTGCATGTGCTGCTGCTGCTGCTGCTGTTGCTGTTGCTGCTGGTGGTGGTGGTGCTGCGCGGCAGCGGCTAGAAACTGTGGGTTCTGCAGCAGGTGCGGGTGCTGCTGCAGCAGTGCGGCATGTGGATGCTGCAATGGCTCCGGCCGTGCCAAGTGACGCACTGCACTCAGCTCCAGCAGTTTGCGCTGCTGCGCTGGCAATGGGAAGACGCCGACGCTGACGCCCGAGGCGGGCGGCGACTGTGAGCGGCGCACGTTGCTCTTGTTGTTGTTGGCCATGTTATTGTTGTTGTTGTTGTTATTATTGTTGTTGTTGGTCTTCTCCTTGTCGACATCTTCTTGAGTGGGCGTCAGGCGGCTGAGCATTCCCGCACTCTCGCTGCTCATCTGCTTCAAGCGCTCAATGGAGTAGCGCAGGTCCTGCTCCTGCTTGGCCGCTTGTCCACTGGCGGCTATGATAAACTTGGGCAACTTGGCCACGGGCGCGCTGATGGATGTGCTGGCGCTGGTCGCAGTGCTGGACACCGACACCAGCTCGGCGCCCCCATTGCCGCCCACGTTGGCCAGATCGGGCGAGGTGTTTGACTTGGGCGAGTCCGGATTCGAATTGGGACTCATCAGGCCGCCGACGGCCGTGGGCTGTGCCCCAATGCTATCGCTAGGCTTTTGCACTGGTGACTGCAGCATCACCATATCGCACTTGTCTCTGGGCACTTTATCACACTGGATGAGTTCACTTGAGCACTGTCTATTTGGCTATTCAGCTATTCACCTATTCACAATTGCGATTCACTATTCACTATTCACTGATAATTGACTTCACTTGCTCTGTTCGCTCTGTCCGCGCCGTGGTGTTGTCACCTTGATTGCAGCCAATCGACTGTCACTGATGCCGGCGCGTATCTCTCAATATCTGCAGCTGATGCTGTGATGCTGCCGATGCTATTAGTTCTTATTGCTGTTGTTGTTGTTGCTGTTGTTGTTGTACTTTTACGCTTATCGCATTGCTTTTGAGCGTAATCCGCGCGTGCGACACTCTGCTCGCAGCCGGGGCTGAAACGGAAATGGAAATGGAAATGGTAATGGGAATGTCAATAGTATTGCTCGACAGAATGTTTGAGGGTTGCTGCTGCCCGCTCGCTGTCGCTGTCGCTGTCGCTGCCGTTGTCGCAGTCACTGTCGAGTGAATCTTGAGTCCAGATGCTGTGGCTGTGGCTGTGACTGTGACTGTGGCTGTGGCTGCCGCTGGCCCGTGGCAAGTCAACTAAATGGAAAGTGAACAAATCTGTTGCGGCGTCTGTTGAGCTCGTTGCTCGTCGTGTTGGCTGCCTGCTGGTGGTGGTGGTTGCTTTGAGTGGATCGCCAGTGCGCTCATATGCTCTCCTGCTGCTGCTGCTGCTGATGCTGCTCTCTTTGTATGTGCTGCACACGCCCCCAGCTGATAGTTTGAGTGAGTTGCGTGATTTGAGTGAACTGGCTCCTCCCTCGCGCCATGCTCCGGCTGGACCTAATCTCGGCTAGCATCTAATGATTTAATTTGCCTTGTCCTCGTTAGCAAGCGTAATGGTCTGTTCCTAGGTCTCGCCAGCACTGAGCATACCCACCCAAGTGCCCACATACGCAAGCTATCTTGCTCTTCTCCAGCTGCCCTCCATCAACTCAATCGCTCACCCTCTCTCTCTCGCTCTCTCTCACTCTCTAATACACATACACGCACGGGGATATAAGCTGCTGCCCAGCTTTACGTAGTTTTTGCATTTCGTCTCCCCCCCACCTCAGTTCAATTGCCATCCAAATATGCGATCGAGGATGTGAGTAATTGTCAAATTATTTAGCGCAAAAATTGTTTGCCTTTGCGCTTCGTTGGCTTCGAAATGGATCTCAGCTTTTTATATTTCAAATGTGCGCTGTTTTATAAATGTATATGTATGTATGTACATATATATATATATATATATATATTTTTTTTTGTTCGTCCCTGTGTTGTTGTTTTTTTGCTTATGCCTGGTTTGTTCTTAGTCATATATGCATGAATGCTTTGTGCTCTTGTGGCTGGCAACCGAGAGCCCAGCCAATGCCAGCCAGCAGCAGCCGCAGGCAAAAGTATTCCGCTTGCCAATTTTTACAAGGCCTAATTGAATTTATGCTGCATTCTAGTGGCTAATCAGTTTGTTAATTAGTTGTTAATAATTGTTAGTAATTGTAAATAATAAAAGTCGCTTCTTGTTAATTTTGACAAACAACTAAAAGTCCATCGCTCGACTCGTCGACTCTTGACGTCGAGTTGATGCTTTTTTCCTTGTAAAACTCAAAGCTATCAGCAGTCGCCCATGTTTGCTTGACTCTCGCTCAAGCTGGCCTTTACCCTACTCACTCTATCTCTCTTTCTCTCTTGCTGTCTCTCTCTCTCTGTGTTTTACTCTCTCTCTTTGTATGTGTGCGTGTGAGTTTCGCTTCTCAGTTTACAGAATGGTTTAAATTGAACAAAAATTTATATGCGCTTTGCACAGACAATTTAATATCGCATCCAATTTGCGGTTTATACGCATCGTAGCAGCGGCCCGCACGGACATCAAGTGGGTGTGGAAAAGGCAGAAGAAGAAGTAGCAGAGACTGAGCAGTACATACATATAGAGAGGCAGTGAGAGAGAGAGAGAGAGAGCGAGCGAGAGAGTGAGAGACTGAATGAGTGAGTGAGCTAAAGAATAAAAGAGAGCGATGCATGTATAGAAGGAGAAGGCAGCAGCTAAGTGGATAGCCTGCTGATAGCCTGGTTGGTTAGTGGCCGTGCCCATGGTCGTGGGTTTGAGCGCACAATGGGGCGTATAAGTGACATCGTTAAGTGGACGCAGGACAGCGAGGATGCTGCTTAATGAACTTCAACGGCATGCCCTCCACACAGTTGCTCATAGTCCGATCCTCCCAGTGTGTGCTGTCCCTCCGGCACTCCGTCGACTTCTCGGCTGACGGCATTTCCTTACTTCTGCTCGTTCCATTGACTTTGTCGTTGCTTCAACTTCAGCTTCTTCTTCTTCACCTTCTTCATATTCCAGCTTCTTTCATTTTATTTTATTTATTTTTTTTTTTTGCGGGGCCAACGCTGGCGGAGCTGGGCGCTCGTTAGCGCTACTCGGCTTCGCTCCTCTATAATTAACCACAAAATGAGGGGAGATGGCATTCTTAATGAGCAGCTTGTTATGCCATTTTCGTTTTAATTACTTTTAAGATGCTTGTTACCAACACCAGTGCGGCAGCTCAGCGCTGTAATTGGTCCATTGATGAAGCTGACTGTAACATATACATGTGTATGCGTACATGTGTGTATGTATGTGTGTGTGTGTGTGTGGCACACTGTGCAAATTGGCTGTGCGTTTTGCTTAGTTTACTTGAGAAGGCAACGGGCAAAGCAGCTTTTGATGCTTCGCCAGCCAAGCGTGGCCGGAAAGTAGGCTACAGCAATGGCAAGGGCTTTCGTTTGCCAATGCACACGTCATTTTGTGACAGTGTATTAAGCGCTTTACCCTTTTACATGCAAAATTAAATGATGCGCATACGCACGGTAAAACCGCAAATTATTTTAATTGCCTGTCTCGTCATTATTCATTATTTAAGTGCGCCCAAACAGACGATATCACACACACGCACACACACGTGTGTGGGTGTGTGTATGTAAAATGTTATGTACACCCCACACACACGCACATACACACAAACGATTTGGGCGGCCCGCCAGACACACACAAGCCGCTGTTTACATAGACATGAAACTTTTGCGCGAAAAATTGCCGACGCTTTCCACAGCTGCTGCACACGTATCACTTTCTCGCTCTCGCTCCCTCTCTCTCTCTCTGATTGTCTTTGTCTTTGTCTCTGGCCCTGCTGCTGTCTTTGTTGCACCTCGGCCGTGATATTGCCATCTCACTCGCACATTTAATTAGTGAAAATAAGTATTAAATGAGCAGCTCTTGTTAAAATAAATAGTGCATGCAAAGGCAGGCAGCAGTTGCGTCTCCCCACAGCCCCACAGCCCCACTGCCCAGACGCCCTTTGCACTGGCTTTCAACAAGCTTTCGAAAGATTTACAGCTAATTAAAAGGCGAATGTGCATAAGGAAAATCGATAATCGGCGCAAAGCTGCTGACCTCGCGACAAGCGAGCAATTAAAAAAAAAAAAAGAGGAGAAAATTACAATTGCGGTCAGACGCGTAATTATGCGCTAATTGAATTATTTTCCATTTATTCGCGGCTTTTGTTCCGTGTGCAATTCTCGTTGTTCGCCAATTTTCGTGGGCCTAAATTGCACGAATTTATTGCATATTTGAGTATTTGTATATTTAATGATGTGCACTGTCCAGGTGCGAGCGAGATGCCAAGCTCGCCGCCAGCCTCTCACTCTCATGTTTGGCCTCTCTGTTTATTCGGCCATTTTGTTGTTTGCACTCCACTTGCCGAGCGCCCCACGTTAATTTGTTTGACTAATTAAACTAATGAGCGTTCAAAGTTAATACATAAATTAGTCAGCCAGTTGAGCCATCCCAGCTGCCAGCAGCGGGCAGTGGACAGTGGGCAGTTGGGCAGCTGGGAGTGGGAGTGGCTTATCGAGCAGCGGCAGCAGCTGTGTGTTGACTAAGCTTATTGCAATTTTGATTACGGTTTTCCAATTAATTGCCTATGGCTTTGCGGCTAAAGGATTTATAACTCTGTTATGGCAAATAAATATACGATATATTGATAAATATTTGACAACATACAATATTTGACAGCATACATACAATTAATTTACTGAAATTTTAAATAATATATATTTTTAGAAAAAAAAAAAACACAAGTAATATTTCAAAGTCAACCATTTTAACTGATTTATTATTCTATACATATATTACTTATAAGAAAATATTATAAAAATATAAAATATATATATATATATATATATA